TAGAATATTTATTTTATCAGAAAAATATAAAAAATACAATAAACTCCATGCGGTACGATTGAAATTTACATTGTGACTTCGAGAGAAATTTACGCTGAATCCATTAATCTTGTATTGTATAAAAGAATAACATAATGAAATATTTAATATGATTTCTACTAAGCATATATCTTAATTCAACATTTGGAATATTTGTATGATTAAAATTTCCATTAATTCTGAATGAAAAGTCTGTCATATTAAATCATACAAATTAATAATATACTTGAATGCTTCATGTGACGATTCATTGTATTCAAAGTCATTTAATATTTGTAATATCGAAAAAAATATAAAAAGAATCGAGTGAAGATATATTTTTGATCACTCTTATGCATCTTCTAATTGAAGAAATGTACAAATAATACTAGTTTCAATATTCTCTACATAAATTAATTTAAATTTTTTTCGTAAACAAAGAGACGACTGCGAATGTAAAAGGCCATCAGGTACGAAGAAGTCAACTTGCATGATCTTTCGTATAATTAGTTTACCACACAATTCCTAGAGAACATCAAGTGGGTTTTTCTGATAGAGCTGGCATTATGTAAGAGACAGGAACATGTATATACGAATACAAATGCAGAACTGTTTGTCGTTTATTATTTAATGAATATTTGGTGAATTATGCCTTACATAATTATGCTTTACGTCATTTTATACTTGTCAATAAAATTACATCAAAATTACCGTTTATTCGGATCGGGTCTCGAAGATATCTCGCAAATAAATAATAAATTTGTCTAAAATTCGACAAGAGGAAACTTTGATATTGGTGTTGCAACTGTATTCTCCGAAGAGGATCTATAAATTTACGGTCATTAGCCTAGATTGTTTTCGCGGTAATCCGTTTGACGATATTATAATATCGATTCCTTTAATCGATTTATACTCTAATTTAAGTAGTTGTACAATCGTGTTGTTGGCATTCACGATTATATAGAAAGATTCTTCTTATGAGTCTTTCATGTCGCAACTCCCAAAATAAATGATTATCTCTCGAGCAACTGTACCAAACCGGATACTTTCTTTTCATGGTCGTGCCGGTCATGAGGTGCATCGACCTTGACTTCATGGATCATCGAGTTCAATATAATGATTTTCACTCTCGATAGAAAGTGAAGAGGCGCACTTCGACAAGCGATGCCTCCGTCTCGTTACGAGGAAACGAGTATTACGGCCATTGATCAGAAAGATTACGATAGTATAAAAAGTAGCATAAAAAATATGGCTGCTAGGGCTTAAATGCAGAGCTAGATGTATCCCATAAATATTTAGGCTCTCGCAGGATCCGGGAGAAAGTACTCGCGTATGTATTCCAAGGGAGCATGTCAATGAACTCATTCGTTGGGTCTCGGGAGTTTTTTCATCCAATCGAATCTCGTAGTTTCTCGCCACGAGGAAATTATACGATTCCGCGATTTCAGAAGAATTTTCGCATAAACATTTTCAATTTTTTTTGCCATTTTGGCTCCCGTAGAGAGAATTACTCAAATTTAAAACGGGAACTGAAATCCTCAACGTGACCTACTTTTCTTTTCTTGTCACGTATCGATGATCACAACGGCGATCGCAACGATGTCGATTTCCTTTCACAGACCACGCACTGCGTCATTACGTAACAGGGATTTTCCGCAGCCTTTCGTAACACTGGGAATTTCGTGTCGTGGATCGTGCCACGCTAAACCGCGCGTGAATTGTCTTGACCCAATTTGGATATCCTTCTACGTTTTCTTCTTTCTACGCCGAAATGCAAATGAATTCGATATAGCGAATATAACATAAGATAATAACTTCACGTGAAGGCAATAACTTTGCGTTCAAGCGTGTTAAGATTAAAATTCTAAAATACATATAATATAACGCAAAATTATATGAATTTTTTAAGAGAGAAAAATTCTTAATAATTCGTTCTCGAGAAGAACGATAAAGAGGATCGCTATGTAATTTCTTCGAGGTTGTTGAGGAAGGTACAGGAGATGGAAATGAGGGTTTAAAAAATAAACACATCAACTTTCACCAAGTTCTTTTTTTTTTGCGTGGATGAGATTACACGATAGAAGATGATTATCGATGAGGAGACAAGCTGCGAGCTGCTTACGCATACTTCCACACGAGCTTTACTGAGGTCGACGGCTACCGGTCTGATGATTTTTGCGATCAGTAGGTAATATGGTACCCATGTTGCTCGATCGAGTAACTCGACGGGATCTCCGCGATCGGCGCAGAATAATAAGTGTATGGCGATACCTAGTAATAACGAGAAACAAGATAAAAAATTGTATTTTGATTTTGCAACGCAATTCGATCACAGAAAACGATAAGCTTTGAAATAGAAAAAAAATTCCTTTTCTCTTCCTTCTTTATTCTTTCTCAGCGATCCATGTGAAAATTATATCTATCGTATTTCTTTGTAATTTAATGTTGAATAATCAAAAAATATAATTATAAAGATTGGCGTTCTTTTTTTATTATTAATTGAAATAATGAAAAGGCTTCAGAATATAAAAGCGCGGCAGATTATGGATTACTTGTAATTTTAATACTTTCATTTTGTCAATTCTTTTATGATTACTCGCAACTTCTTTTATTATTATCTTTCGACATTATAATTTTAAAATCAAAATTATGACTTGTCAAGTATTTACAATGGAATTTTAATTCTTGTAATTTATATGCGACTGAAGAAGAAATGTAAAGTTGAAACTAGTTTCGCTTATTTTTAATGTATTGAACACATTAAATTTTATTTAATATTTTATAGCACTCTTCGCTTTTACTTATCTTTGACTTTTTTTTATATTATCTTGGTAAGAAAAAAGTTTTAAAATAAAGAAAAAAGTTTTAGGTATATAAATTTAAAAATCGACTCTTTAAATGTAAACTCACAAACGTTCGATTCTTGAATTGAAGCTATATCAGTAATTCACTCCTGGTTCGGTGGATGGATCCTATTTTTAGAAATCGAACGTTTTTTTTTGTGACGCGTGAGTCGCTTTTCGAACGCCAAGGTATACACTTGGACTTTTTGTATCTAAAATGGTTGGATAAAACAGAGCAATACAGGGGTCAAGCACGGTAATTTCTTGTGCAAACCAATACGGTTAACAAAACAACTTTATTAATAATTAATCCGTTTACATGTTTCGGCTTATTTTTGAGCCATCCTCAGAGATAATATGATATTGTAATTACAAAAAATTTTTTTACAAACTAATTTATTTCAGTGAGCTACCTCCATCTGTTAACGGAAATTATAATATAAAGACAAACTCTAATAATCTAAAGTGTATTAAAATGATTAAAAGGTAAATTTGTTGGAAACAAAAACGATTTATTGTAAAATAATAGAAGGTAGCTCACAAAAATTCACCATATCGCAAGCACTTAAATTCTATTGGTTTAGTCAAAAACCAGTCTTTAATCATTCAGCAAATCAGTGTCAATTGTGTTGAAATTAATGAATAATTTTAATACATCTAAAACATTAATCGTAAAGAAAAGGAAAAAAGAAGAGAAAAAAAATTTTGATATTAATTATAATTCAGACGGACATTAAAACCAAAACTGAATCTTTAATAATTTAATTTTAATGTAACAAAGAATGTACACTGATTGATGTATTAAAAATTTTTTGACTAAACTGACTAAATAGAATTTAAATGTTTGCGATATGATGAATTTTTATTTTAGTGAGCTATCTTCTATTATTTTATAATAAATCATTTTTGCTTCCAACAAATTTATTCATTTTAATACATTTTAGATTGTTATTAAAATTCGTTTTTATATTATAGTTTCCGTTAATAAATAGAAGATGGCCTATTGAAATTAATTTAAAAAGAATTTTTATAATTACAACATCATATTGTCTCTGAAAATGAATCAAAAGTGAGCCGAAACATGTAAACGGATTAATTATTAATAAAGTTGTTTTATTAACCATATTGGTTTGCACAAGAATTATCGTGCTTGATTCTTGCTCTGTTATATCCAACCATTTTGTATTATTAAGGAGTCTTTAGGAATTAATTTATATTTTTGTATCTAACCTGTGAAAGAACGGGTGCGGCATAGGCGAGACGGGAAATCGGTGCGATAACTGGTGTAGCGATTGGCGCGATTGGCGCGACCAGCGGTGTGAGTTTGGCGGTTGACGCCGGAGTTTTCAACTCGGAGACGAGGGTGAGTGGTCTGGGTGCTGGCGCTGGCGCGGACCACGCAAGGCCGACGAGAGTGGCGAGTAGGATCTGCAAGTAATCGTCATAAAGGAAAAGCTCGCTTCTTATTTAAATTGGAAAACTTCGGCGCGCGAGGCACGTCGGCGAATATAAGTAACCGTTGAACCGCGTAAAGCGAATGAGTCTACGTGAGGTAAATATCGTTGCACGAGAAGACACTTCCTCGCGCGCGTCTAACGGCGGTGAATAATCGCATTACACTTTCGGAGAATAAATGCAAATTGCAACGATTCTGAAATGTTGGAGATCACAATAGCGGAGTAAAAGCCCAGAAATTATTATTACGTATTTCATTACGATTTTTAAATTCATTGCGGATGCACTTTGCACTCTCCACGGAATGCCAGATTTACTTACGAATCGCAACATGACGACTTCGGGCAAGGATTCTGCGCGGATGTACTCGGGAACGATACTTCGTATAAATGCGCGCGCCAGCTTGGTCTCCTCGTACTTATAGAAGTCTCAAGGGATGCCGTAAAAAAGTAGACTCGTCCGGTACTACAAAAGTTCCTAACTGCCGTACCATCGCATTCCTCCCCAGTCTCAGGGACGGACAGGGCTATAGTTGCAATATGACGCATCCTTGTTCTAAGATGCATTGATCATGCATTACATTCTACTTCTGGAGTAATTTTGTGTGTGTGTGTGTGTGTGTGTGTGTGTGTGTGTGTGTGTGTGTGTGTGTGTGTGTGTGTGTCCATTCATAACATATTTATAAGGAAACAAGAATTCAATTAGTTGAACTCGGAAATAATTAATGTAGAGAGAATTCCACAGAAGATTTTGCTGAAATATCTAAACATTTAATTACACGGAAAGAATGATTTTGCTGAAGTATTTAAAAATTTAGCTAAATATAGATCTGAAAATAATTTGGTTGAATCATCAAAATAATTATATGGAATGCTTAAGTCTAACACATTTTAACAATCTTTCAGACTGCACAGAATATTTATAATAAATATTACTATTTATTTTTTGAAATGTTATGTAAATATTTTATTCATATTTTGCATAAAACTTTATTTGAAATATTATTAAGATATAGACCAGATATTTTATAAT